CCAAGGTTTGTGTGTGCTGTTTTAGTGCAATCATTGTGCGTGGGATTGGTAATGTGTCCAACATCTATTAACTCTTCCATCACCTCAATCTTTACCCGGCAGTACGATGTTGTGCGTCTCACCCAGCTGTATGAGCAGGCTCGCTGGGCCATCCTGCTGGAAGACATCGACTGCACCGAGGAGGAGATGATGCTTTTTGGAGCGCTGCAGGTAAGATAGAAAATGCTGCTCCTGCTGATGTATGTGGATATGTGTAACTCTCTGAGGGAAGTGGATAATTTTGTCTTGAAAGCTTTAAATGTCAAATTTAGCAGAAACTCTTGTGTTCAAGTGCAGATGTTGAAGAAAACTGCTGTGTGAACTCACAATAAACGCATTCTGTGTGCAGATTTAAATCTACATGTAATCTATAAGAAAATGTCAGATCTGATTCAAAGAAGACAAACATATATTTTAAATATTCTTGAGAGAGAAAATGATCAGTTGAATACACAGCTGTATCAAAGGTGAGGTCCAAATATTTAAGCCACACAAGTATTTCAAAAATAATGAAATAAACTCAGAATGCCTTAAAAGGCAGCAAAATGATAAATTCAACATGTACAAAACGCCAAACGTCTCATGCCGACTGTCAAGCACAGCGGTGGAGTTATGGTGATTTGGGCTCGTTTGACTTGTTTGAGTCTACCTTGAATGTTTCTGTGCACAAATGTGTCTAGAATCAAAACTGGATCATTCAATGGGGAAACAATCCAAACACAGTAACACATCTGCAGAAGAATAACAGAAAAAAGGAAAAGATTCTAGAGGTTGCAATGGCCTAGTCCAAGTTCAGGCCTGAAATGAATTGAAAGTTATGTGGGGGAACCTTAAGAGAGGATCTTTAAAAAGATGTGAGTGACCAAAGAGGACAATGATTCCTGGTTGTTCCAGTGAAATCTATAGAATTATGAAGTAGACTCAATTTTACATTTATTATAGGTTTTCGATTTCATAAAACTAACGCATCAGAAGCTACTGTTAATATTTGTGGGTGTTTTTGTGTAATTTTAAAAGCTTCCTTGCAGATACAGTTAACCTGCATTTATGTGACCTATATTTGCTCTAACTGTCAGCTAACAGCTTCTGTACGAGGGAGACACTTATGTCTCTTTCTGTCTTCTCTTACATGTAAAATCATTTAGTACCACATCAATAAGGTGGCCCTGTCAGAGCCACAGATGATGAGCTCCAATGCGGCCCTGGATGACCTGGAGACGGCCCTACAGTCCCTGGAGGTCAAGATGGAGGGAGAGAGCAGCTCTGCCACAGACCTGCTGGTAGCTTGGACTTTAATTCTTAATCACTGATAAAAAAATAAAAAATCAAGATCCACCTTTTAGCAACTGAAATGTTTTATGAAGTCCAGTTTTATTTTGATTGATTGTAATAATAATGACAATTATTAAAAAAACATATTAATGTTAATTTCACAAGAGGAACAGAGAATTAACTTTTCTGAACTTCTATTCAGGAAAACATGACAGCACCAGAACTCAACGACTACTTGAAGATATTCAGGTCAGATTTGAACTCTGATTCTCATAAGACTTCTAGAAAATATTTTTGATGAAACCAAGCAATGTGACTGTGTATTTCAGGCCCAAGAGGCTCACTCTGAAGGGATTTAAGCAGTACTGGTTCAAATTCCAGGATACGTCCATCTCTTACTTCAAGAGCAAAGAGGAGAGCATCGGAGAGCCTATTCAACAGATTAACCTTAAAGGTACAGAAAACAAATTTTAATTTGAAAAAAAAAGTTGTTTCATTTTATCGAATGATTAAACATAAACAATTTGATACATGAAAAGGGGTTCTTCTTTAAACCAATGTTTTTTTGAAAGATTGTCAGTGAAACTGGTGTTCATAATTCAGCTTTTCAACAGCTAACCCATAATTATCAGCTCTCAATGTCCTACTTTGCTTTCCTGCTCTCAGGCTGTGAGGTGGCTCCCGACGTCAATGTTGCAGCACAGAAGTTTCTTATCAGACTGCTGATTCCTGCACCTGAAGGCATGAACGAGGTCTATCTGCGCTGTGAAAATGTCAGTGCCATCGTTCTGTCGTGTGCAGCATTCTGTCTACTTATCTCTGCTTCACCCACTCGGTTACGCCCACAGGCACACCTGTCTAACCCCCCTCCTTCTGCCTGTGGTTCATGTTTTGCAGGAGCAGCAGTACGCTCAGTGGATGGCCGGATGTCGGCTGGCCTCCAAAGGCAAGAGCCTGGCAGACAGCAGCTTCCAGAGTGAGATCCAGAGCATCCGTTCGTTCCTGGCCATGCAAAAGACCAACTCCAGCTCCAGCAATAATTCAGCTAGCAGCGATGAAAGCATAAATACTCACAGTTTGGTGTCACCACGCTACCATAAGAAGTACAAGCCCAAACAGGTAGAGGAAGAAAGAGTATTTGCACCTATGCATAGCCAGAATATATAACAGTATTTATTAATTTGGTTTTAAATGGAATCTATTATGTAAAATTAAAATTTTGCATTTTTATATGCTTCCATTTGAGTGTCTAATGCTTCTAGAACCAGACTAAGCACTTAGCACAGCCATTTTTGGCAATAAGTTTATATTTTTTGGTGTCTGGAAAATGAGCTGTTTCAAAAACTTCCCAATTGTTGAGTCTCACCCTAGGGGCACTGTGCCATTACCAAGCAACCCCAGCAAAGTCCAGCTCGTCACCTTGCAACCCAAGTGGAGCTTCAGGGCCTTTGGTCAACTGGTTTTAAGCATTTAAAGTGAACAGAGGCTCTAAAACATCTCATTCTGAAAGGAGGTCAAAATAGGCAGAATTGAGTTAACAAAAATCTCATTATTTAAGAATAATTTTGTGCAAAAAATGTGATGAACATGTTCTGAGTAGCCCATAGAATTAACCTAACCTGCTAAAGGAAGCATGGGTCACCTTTTATCTGAATGTGTGTGTCAAAAAGCATAAATGTATTTTTCATTAAATAATTTATTTTAGTACTGTAGAGCTAAGCAACTTGTCTTTAATTTTCAAATGTAATTATATTTAAGAGCGTTGCCTGTGCCTGCTTCTCCAGCTGACCCCTCGTATCCTGGACGCCTACCAGAACATAGCTCAGCTCTCTCTGACAGATGCACTAATGCGCTTCCTGCAGATCTGGCAGGCTCTGCCGGATTTTGGACTCTCATATGTGGTTGTCAGGTAAAGTTTAAATCAATTTGATGCAGCAGAACACAGCAGAGAGGATCTGAGGTGGCAGTAGCACTGTGATAGCAAACAGCAAGGAAGTTGAAATAACTCAAACTGAATCTCTGGTTTTTGTTTCTGTTCATGTCTAGGCTAATGTTAGTTCTGCAGTACGACTGGCTGCAACAGGAATTTAGAAAAGTAGTTGTGCAATGAGCCATGGTTAAAACTATGTGGGGTTGTGTGTAAAAGGTTTCTGATTTTTGTCAAGCCATGGTAGTTTTATGAGATCATTATGGCACTATATGCAACAAAATTTAAATGATTTGGCAGTTTTTCCACTGGTGTTGCTGACTGCTATTTTTATATTGATAATAAATAGCCACCATAATTGAAGTTCCCTTAAGATTTATATGCACCAAGTAAGGAAGAAATTATAATTTATATTCAAGCAAAGCTCTTAAATGTTGAAACTGACCACCTCCTCCATCTCCTTACACATAACTGAGCTAAAATAGTGACGAATGACAATACGCATGACAAAACCACGACCAAAATAGCAATCTCTGAACTTTGTGAGAGGTTGATTAATATAAATGTTTTCTGGCCAACAGGTTTAAGGGTAGCAGAAAGGATGAGGTGCTGGGCATCGCCCCGAATCGCCTGATCCGTATCGACCTGGGAGTGGGTGACGTGGTGAAAACTTGGCGCTACAACAACATGAAGCAGTGGAACGTAAACTGGGACATAAAACAGGTCATTACACATGCTGCTATAGCAGCTCAAAAAAATTACATTTTCCAGTTGTAAGCAGGTGTTTCATGTTTTAGATGCCCAAGATTGAATAAGGTCATTCTGAAATGTTTTTAAATTATGAAGAGTTATTGATAAAAAAAATATTTTAATTGCTTTCTTTTTTTTTTCTTGTTTTCCCCAAATCTGATCACTTTCTCAAACTAATGCCTCCTGCTGTCACCGTTTTGTCCAGATGGCCATCGAGTTTGAAGGGAACGTGAACATCGCCTTCGGTTGCGTGACGGCTGACTGTAAAATTGTTCACGAGTTCATTGGAGGCTACATTTTCATGTCGACGCGCAGCCGTGAGAAGAGCGACACGCTCAATGAGGAGCTCTTCCATAAGCTGACTGGAGGCCATGAAGCGCTATAATACCTAAATACATAAAGACTGATTCAGAAGCTCTCTCTCTGTGAAGGGAGAGGGAAAAACACAAAGTTATGGCTCATACCTTCCGAACAGACAGATTTTAATTTACTATCTGCTCCAAATGCACATGATGTTTAACAAAGAGAGTTTAGGACTCCAAACATGAATTCTTTTATGATGGACCGCTGCTGGTGCAAATAACAGAGGGCCCAACTTACCGAAATACAAAGCTGACTCAGACAGCCACTTCTCTTTTTTTTTTGCCTGACTAACAGTAACTGTAATCAGCATTTTTCTGGAAGGACTTGTGTTAATAACAATACTACAACACAGCTTTAACAACCAAATTTAATCAATAAAAAATAGACCGTCTGAAGAGACTCATTTGTCGGAATGTTACAAAATACTTTTATTAGTGTGATGTAATATTCTGATCATAAATGTCATGTTTTATTAATTGTAAGCAGAATATCGTAATTAAGAGAAATAAAAGTTTGAAAACATCAGTCTGTAAATTATTGAACATGCCTGTATTATCCCATAAGAGAATTTAAACATGTATGAGTTAACTTTTTAAATTGAAAATATAAAAAGAGTGTTTCAAGTTTTGTCTTCTGTCAAAGTGGTCACAACAACTGAACGCTCCTAACCAATTATCTCAATCATGCAGAGAGTGTGTGTTCCCATAATCTTGTGAGGAACAGTTGAGGCTGTCCGTTAAACCACACTGTGCATCCTGTTTCCTCCGACTCAGGCTAAACAGAATATCTTCATATAGTCCTTTATTTAAAGTTGCTTCTACAATTGAGCTCTGCTTTCATCCATCCCATCATTAGCAACAAACATTTTGATCCCTGTTTAGAAAACAAACATTACTGCAGTTGCTGGTAGTATTTTTGATGAAAAGCTTTGGTTTCATGAGCCCATTGTTTCATGTGTTTGCTGTGTCATCAAAGGCTCTCTTATTACTACAACTTTGGTTAAATCTGAAGGCAGGGTTAAGGGGTATGAGAGCACAGGGGGATAATTACAAATACATGCCAAATTATTTGATTATTTGTAATTAGAAAACCATGTACCTTTTTCACTCCACCTCATACTCAGACTTATTCATAGCTTTACTTTGTCACATTAAATTCTAATGAAATATGTGAAAATGTGTGGCTATCATGTGACACAAGTACTAAAGTAAGACGCAGTATAGACAAAAAAAGTGCCAAATCAGCTTATATTTATCTGCTTAAGTATTTATTATGAAGATAAAATTGGGCTGCAAGTGTATGTAAAACTTGTGTGGTCTTGGAAACTATGAAAACATACTGCAAAGTTGGATTCAAGCTTGGTGAGAACATCAAGCGCAACAGCTTTCACTGCAGGGGAAGGGTGCATCCTGAAACACAGCACAAGAAATTACACAACTGGAATGTCGTTTGGCTTCTTAAGAAGAAATGTGTTCTCATTTTCCTCACTTGTAGGCTTGAGTTTTAGGGCTCGGGTGAAGTATTTAGGAAGGAGTATACCCTCAGCATCACCTGAAGTCAGCAACACACCATTCTCTGACCAGAAGAACTCAATACCATCTGCACAAGCCGGACAGAAACACACAAAGCACTTGTAAAAGAATTGATTTCTTTACTCACACTGGGTAGATCGAGAGGATTAAACTGCAGCCATTACCAGCTAATCTTACCAGCCAGAGCTCGGGGGACATCAATAAACACAGCTAGGTCACAGTTCTTCCTCATGCCTGGTGGGAAAAGAAATAACGCTGCTATCTGATGTTCAACTCATATAAGCTTCAATTTTTCTGTATTCAGAGAATACCGCTGATGATGCCATCTTCCCCTGGTAGTCCAGTTGACAGATGAATGTGAGTCCTATTCATGCGGCTCAGACCCTGCTGTTGAATGGATGGCCAGCTGCGGAGGTAAGAGCCATGAACGGCCTCGGCGGGGCAATCGAGAGAACCAGCTAGAACTGGTTTTAGCTCCAGATCCATAACCTGAGCAGAGATGAGATTCCGGATGAGATTTAAAGTTCATAACAATTTGTTCAATTAGGTAAAAAAATGTTCACAATTTTCCACATATCTGACTAACACCAAGAAGAACATAAGTAAAACTCAGGCAAGCAAAGAGAACTTCTTTACTACTGGGATGACTGTGGCTCAGTGTGGGAAAATTAGTCATTTTGTAGTTCAAAAGTTGTGTGTTTGATTCCAGCTTCCATCATGTTGATGTGTCTCTGGGCAAAGAATTAAACCCCCAGTTGCCTGAATGCGAATGTGGTAAACACTGCTAATGAAAAGCACTTTGAGCAGTCCTAGCATAGAAAAATGAAATATGAACTCTTTCCATTAACCATCACCATTAACTGACTGCAAAAGAAAATACTAAAGCCACTGTACTGTCATTATCACACTACATGTGGTCAGCTTGAGGTTTTCGTGTGTAGAGGAACATCTATTTTCTCCCACTCACCACATGCTTGTTCAGGATGTGAGATTGCTGCAAAGTCAAACACTTGATGCAAATGACTGTGCTTCCTTAGATACCTTTTTATCTGTTCATAATAAATAGTTATTATCAATATCTGAAGTGTACAATAACTTTTATTGAATTATACTGTATTAACTGGATCAGAATATGTACACTATGCCAGAATTAGGTTGGTTTGAATCTGAACTAAATGGTACATAATTGCAAATGCATTTAATTTTCATAATAAAAATTACATTTGTTGTAAATTGGAATTACATTAAAAAACTTAAATGAATGTGATTTAAATCAGAACGCTCTGCTTGCCTGTAGTGAATGCCCCTGATTGGCTCGAATCTGCAGCCGGCCATCCTCTGGGTGGGAGCGGAGCTTGAAGCGCTGCTTGTCATTTGTGGACGCGACTCTCTCTATGTCTTCTAATGTGTACGAGTGGAACTGTGGGTGAGCCAGGATGTCCTCCACAAACAGGAAGCCATCTGTGGAGTTACAAGTTAAGCCATGGTCACATTTTACAGTTTCGTTTGAATAAATCTACATGATATTTTTAAGTTGTTTCCACGATGCAAAATCTTTATATATATATATATATATATATATATATATATATATATATATATATATATATATATATATATATATATATATATATATATGCAAATTATTGGCTAGACATCTTTTGAGTGAAACATTATTGTTGTCACTGTCAATTTAAGGAGTGAAACAAGAAGTAAATCAAATTCAGTTCAGTTTATTTGCATAGAACTAATTCACAACACATCATCTCAATGCACTTCCCCCAAAAAAGGTAAGATTCAGTTCAATCACTCTTATTTTCCAATTGATCCTACGATAAAACAATGCCGTCAAGTCCAGTTCACTACGAAAATTGTTTTAAGAAGTTCACTATTAAAAGAAACTACAACTGCAAAAAACTCTTTCAGGCCCATAGAAAATACTTCTAGTTCAGTTCTTGTGTGTTTAGCTAAACAAAACAAAAGTCATTAATTTGTGTCTGAAACTGTGAAAGTGTCATCTCACCTGTAGCCATTTGAAATCCCATCTGTGTAGCTCCATGACGAAGCACATAAGACATGGATTTAGACAGACGAACATCTTTGTCCTGGTGGTAAAGAAGGTCTCGTTTGATACACACTCAACTCTCTTCCAGCCTAATAATAGTTGTTTTATATTTAGATCCAAGCCTGCACTGTGTCAAATCTGCCATGCTGCCTGACAGCCAAAGTACACATTTTTAAAATCAAAAATTAGGGAGGTAACATGTTGGCAAACTGGTCCAGGTAACAGGGATCTCACCTCCTCACTACGCCTGCCTCTGCCTCCTCTTCTTCCTCCTCTTCCTCTGTTCATTAAAATACAGACAGAGCAGACCTTGGGCTGGAAATTTGGGAAGGAGTTATTAATTGAATCAATCTACATGTTACCGTGACAACTTTACGCTTTATTTAGTAGCGTCAGCCCTGCTCTATAATTATACCTAAGAAGCAGTCGCCCATATTATTTTTGGTCAGGAGATTCAGCAATCGTCCTGCTTGTTTCCACTTCCTGTCTGTTTCACGCCTCCGCCTGTAGGTGGCAGCATAGCCTTACGCGATGAAGAGGCACCACAGAGGAAAAGCCGCAGCCAGTGTTGAGAAACATAACAGTTCAGACAGGTAAACGAATATAGTATTTACATTCAATATAAGACGACGAAGAAGCGTTTAAACGTGTTGTTTCTGGTTCAACCTCCACTCAGCCTCAAAACTTCCATCGCTAAAATTTTAACTCAGGTGATGAGCTAATTTTGCTAACTAGTGTTAGCATAGTTGTGCTAATGCTCATTTTTGTGCTTGAATAAAATTCGGAGATATTCGTGGTTTTTACCTGATGTGTACAGCGTTGTGAGGGACGTATCGGTTCTTCTTCTGCATTGTATACCTTCTTAATATCTGCTACATGTTAAGGCTCACTTCTTTTCTTTGGACGCAGCAATTCAGCCTGGTTGCCATGGAGAGCAGGATACGGTAAAGCAGAGCGGCGCTTGGAGGATTCAGCAGCCAGAAAGGAGTTTGAAGACGGTAACATTCTGTTTATATATATATAAACAGATAGTTTGTATCTGTTTATATATAGTGTAAATTTAGACATTTATAATCAGTACAAAAACAGAAATAAAACATATACGACATACTTGTTCACCCTTATACAGCTAAATACAATTCAAGTATATTAAACGGACGTAGAAATATGAATTGAAGTTAAAACCACTGATTATCTCTCCATCAAAGTGTCTGTTTGGGTTTAACAGGATGCATATGCATTGTGAGCATTTTGTCCTGAAGTTTTCCTTGGAAACATAAATAATGGGCAAACTTATGGATTTGAGTGAGTTTCACAAGGACCAAATCATGATTGCTAGATGACTGTGTCAGAACAGAACCAAAATTGCACCTTTTTTAGGGTGTTGCTTGTCTGTTCACTATATATGAAAGAAGAAAAAGTGGTGAGCCAGTGACAAGGTCATGGACAGCAAAGGTCATGGACAGCAAAGGCTTCATCGATGAAAGTGAACCATGACCTGATCTAATCAATTTTCTGGGAAAAGCATGACATCTGGAGGCAATAAGCTTGCTAAAGTGGTGGAATGTCTTAGGGAACTTTTTGCTCTAACACGTTTGATTCTGCTTTTTGTTTGAATGTTATTTGTACATGACTTGTATGGTTGCAGACCATTTAAACCTTTTTAATTCACCAGTATCAAAGCAAAACCATTTCAAGCAGAATGAAAGGAGTTAAACAAGTTTCAGATGTTGGTTTAGCCTCCAGATTTCCCAGATCTCAACACAAACAGCACAACACACAAACAAGTGTGATTCATGGAGGCCCCAACCTGCAACTTAAAGAACCTGACATGTTTCTACCTGAAAGACAATGCTGAATTGGATTAGGCGTATGCTGAGTTGGTGTATTTGACGTAATCGACAAAGGATGTTAATTGTAGAGCTGCCAGGGAGGAGAAAAACTGAAATTAAGTATTTTCTTGTTAATCCATATTGAAATATGTCTTTTATTCAGAATTTTTGGGTGTTTTTTCTTTGTTTTACCTTTCTACAGTTGATTCATATTCCCTTCTTGTCTCAGATCATGGAGTTTCCTCAGCATTCCCAGCAGCTGCTATCAGCTCTGCGTTCCCAGCGGCAGCGGGGATTCCTTTGCGATTGCACCGTGCAAGTGGGCTCATCCCGTTTCCTGGCTCACCGGGCAGTTTTGGCCTCATGCTCGCCTTTCTTTCACATGTTTTACTCAGACTCTCCAGCGGGTAGCAGCACCAGCAGCTGTGTCACACTTGACAATGACATCGTCACATCTGCTGCATTTGGCTTGCTGTTGGATTTTGTCTATGAAGGTGTGCTGCTACTGGACGAGTCTCCTCCGGTGGAGGACATCTTGGCTGCCGCAAGCTTTCTGCACATGAACGAGGTGGTGAGAGTGTGTAAGAGGCGGCTGCAGAGGCGAGGGCCTCTGGCTGAGGCTGACAGCACACGCTCTGAAGACAGCGGCGGGTTGAGGAAGGCACCAGAGGCAGGTAGTGACCACCCAGCTGAGCCCACGGTGGCCACGGTTGCAGACCACTCAAATCCAGTGACCACAGCAGTGCCTTTCTCCTCAGTATCTGAAGTGGTAGATGGAACTCAGTTGGAGTGTGTGAAGTCTGAGCAGAGGACAGGTGGAAGTTCATCAAATATACAAACTCCTCTGAGCCCTGACCTTGCTGATACCACCCAACCAGGCATGGACGGCCCTCCTTTGCGCCCAGCAGGGGAGCTGGTGCCGAGCCAGACCAACATATCTGCCTTTGTTCCTATAAGTCTCACCAAGATGAGCCCAGGGGGCCAAGGCGAAGGATCTGCTCTCTGCAGTCCATGCAGCACCACAGAGGCATACAGGTAATGATCTCCTGTTTCTTGGCAGTTTTAATCAATCTAAATTCAAATATGTGTGTCCTCCATCTTTACCTCCACTTATTATACTTTACAAAGGTTTCTAACTTTGTGGTTTCTGGGTAGATTATCCAAAAAATTAAAATCTGAAACATCTCTGTACAGTAAACATGGCTGGTCTGAGAAACCCCACTAATAATCTTACATAATTTAGTGCAAGGAATTATGGCACAGATTAGCATTGTCTAACCCAGTGTTGTGTCATATGTTGTTTAGATTCAAACACTCTTAAAAGGAGTGTTTTAAAAAAGGCCTCTACAACAACAAAACATTTTAACCTGACTTTAGCATCCTATATTAGCATACAGCATTTATTAGTACTTAACACTATTATTGCATTTAGCATTGGTAGCTGTAAAGATGAGTCTGTGTGTATACCTTGTAAGAGGACAGAAACTCTCACTTAACCTATTAGATTTCAGTAACACTGTTGAAATTAAGATGTCATGAAGCAGAAAACGACAAACTTTGAGTCTTCTTCCTGCAGGAAAAACTTCCACACAAAAGAGTGTTGTGATAATGATCCTTTCACTGATAGGGTCAAAATCAGATATTTGAGTTGCTGGCTGAGTTTTATTATGAGTCAGAGCAGGTCAGGCTGATAATCAGCTAAATCCTCTGTTCATCTCTAAAGATTGTTACTGTTTATTTATTGTTTATTGCTAAAATGAAGGAACAAACAAGCAGTTAATGAGTGAATTTTCCTGTGAACCTCATTCCCAAAATATGTATTTTTGTGTTACTAAATAAAGCATCTGCATAAAACTTAACATTGATTTCTTTTAATGTAGATTACTGAAGGCTTTATTAGGTTATCCAAGGTATTCTGGTCTCTGTTCTTTGTATCTGATTTTGTATCTGCTTATCTGTTTTTAACCAGCTATAGTGCGTTCCAGCAGCCTTCCTCCTCTTCCTCCTCTGTGCTTCCCCAGAGTCAGTCTGCTGCTCGGTCTGTGGTCTCTCTCAACGCTTCAGAATCCCACCTTTCCACCGGAGGACATGCAGAACAGCTCCCTTCTGCTGACCACCCTGCTGAGAATCTCTCTGAGACTGACCATAAAAACATCCTTCCCAGAGAACAGAGGATGGTCAGGTCAATCCAAGCACCCACCCTGACCAAAACCTTCCAGATCAACTCCAGACAGTCGGCTCTTCAACAAGCACCATTACAAATCAGAATCCAGAGCGCAGTAACGCTAAATCAGAGCTCGAACCTTGAACACGCGCCTCAAATGCCAACGCTTCAACGTCCCGAGGATGAAAGCGAAACACCACTTGTGGCTGGAAAACGATCATGTCCTCCAGGTGGAGCAAGGACAGGCAACGATGAAGAGATTTTGGAAATCAAAGAAGAGGCGATTATTATTTCTGACGAAGAGCTAGAGGAGGAGAAAGAAGATGTTGGGGAGAAAGAATCAGTGATGGACGTGGAAGAGGAATATGAAGAGGATATCCAGGAAGAAGAGCTGAATAGTCCTCAGTTTGTTTCCACACATTCACAGGGACTTCTACAAATAAACCCTCATTCAAATGACTACTCCTTCCCCCTCTCTCCCTCTTCCTCATCTTCTGGCGCTGGACCTCCCTCTTCCTCCCTCGTTCCTCCGTCGTCCTCTCAGCAACATCCGGATCCTCCCGGCTACTTCCAAGAACTCCAGGACTCCATGGGCAACTTCGTTGAAGACGTGCCAACATGTGGGGTCTGTGGGAAGACATTTTCATGCACATATACTCTAAGACGCCACGCCATCGTGCACACACGTGAACGGCCTTACGAGTGCCGCTACTGCTACAGGAGCTACACGCAATCTGGGGATTTGTATCGACATATCCGCAAAGCTCACGACCAGACGCTGCCCGCTAAGCGCAGCAAGGCAGACACAGAGGGACCCCTGCTGCCGCAGCCCCCTCCTCACTGCTAACACACCAGCCACTTATTCCCAAATATGTGAACTTTAACCTGATCTGTTAACATGAAATCAAAACTTACATTTAGTGAAGGAACAACTAACAATTTTTATGATCATTTTATCTGATTTTGTTTGTCTTTTGTGAAGTTTTTAAAACATTCAGCAATGTTATTTTGAGGACGAAGAGTTTTCACTGAACAAAGTTAATTAAGTTTGTGCCTGTTTAATTATCTGTTGAGAAAACTTCAGAAAAAATTGGATTAGAATCACATTGAGACCTGACAGTAAATGCAATATGATGTTCATTACGAAAATAGTCGTAACTCTTGACCTGTTTCACATTTAGTAATGTTAAAACTGCAATTTTTGTAAGGCACAAAGTACAAAAATGAACATTATATATCATTCACTGCACAACTCCACGTTTGATACATGTCGTTTAAAAATTGAGTCATAAATAACTTAGGAATAATATATAGATTAGATTTAATTGATTTTAGAAGCAGAGAGAGTAGATATTTTTTTAAGACAGGATCTTTAGGCTATTCTAGCTTATCCCAGGTTTTTTTGTAGTTTTTTTTGTTATTATTACATTCACTGGTATTATTCATGTTTATTCTTGCCCTTTTCAGATTGTTTGTTCAGGTTATAAATACCAAATTAACCTAATGGTTCAGTTTCACACTGAGGTTAATATCTGTACTGTTAAAAAAGCTTTTTCAAAAGAAATTATCGATAAAGACCAAAAATCCTCTCCTAACAGCAGCAGCGGTTGAATCTCCTCGTAAGCACAAAAGCAAAACATGCTTGAGTGTTGACTTGACTTACAATAACATATCGCTGTAAGAAAATCATGAAAAATGTTACATCTGTGCTACTTTTTATATTTTGTCATTGTTTGTCATTGAATTCAGTTTGATAGTCTCGTCAGGTTGTAACAATTGATTATTCATGAGCTTTAACAAAATGTTATAAAGAATTGTACACCAAGTTGTTTACTATGGAAGTTAAAAAAAAAAGAATTGATATTATATAAGTTGTAATATGTATTGGTGTCCTGTTACTGTGAGCCAGCAGATTTAGATGGAGATCATTTTAATGTTGTGTTTTGCTATCAACAGGATGAACTAAAAGTTGGTCACATTTCTGATGCATCTCTTTCCTGTAGAAGGTAAATTTCCAACGGTATTTATTCACTCCATTTTGCCTCACATTTCATTCTTTGAGTAAATTAAACAAACCGTTCCAGGTTTCAGCTGATTCATACTGTAACAGTCAGGGCAATCCTTTAACATTTCGATTGACTGAACTTTGAATGGACCAACATTGACTCACCATTCTTCACTACACCCACTTCATGCCTTTAACCGGAGGCAGGAAACCAGATGAAGGGTGGAGTAAAAAAGGAGGTAATCCACTAAATGTTTGCCTTATCTTAATGTCTTTGTATGTGCCTGATTCAGTCTGTGGAAGTTCTTGTTCTACACTATTTTAAATGTTTTAAGACACTTTCTACCAAAAAAAAATGTTGAAATTACCTTAGAAAAAAAATGTTTTAAACTGATACCATACTTTTAATGGACAACAGCAGTGATCATTTAGAGGGTTTTGTGAGTGATAATGTCCAATATCTAATTGTCACCTTGTGAATAAATGGTGTTCTGTGGCACAAATGTTTGACTGTTTTACTAATTCACAAAATTCTCTTCAGCAGGTGTTTTAGTTTTATTCTTATGTACAAAAAACATTTTTATTGCTCTGAGACAGGAACACTACTTAGATTAAGCAGCAGTAGATGTGCTTTGCTTGTGTCACGTAATCAGCCTTCAGTCTTAAACCGTCCCATGGATCTGAAAACACAGAAGATGAGCATTTTTTAAAGTCTGGGAGTTCAGTGATTCATATGAAGGTTTATGGAATAACATAAAACATTATTTCAGTGTTTTTTTTTTTAAAAAGAATTAGATACAGTTTTAAATTTGGTGTGAATTTTCTCCTATTCACACAGGCTCAAATGTATACATACAACCTCACAAATATTTTAATTATAAAGTCCATCAGTGACTCACTGCCTCAGCCAGCTCAGGCCAGTCCATCGCCATCACCACGGTGTCGTCTGAAGTGGGAGGTGTATCCAGGTTCCAGTAGGTGAGCTTGTCAAACACTGAGGTCACCTTCACTGTCCTGTCCTGTGGACAGAGAGTCATTGGCTTGTATCTGATGTTCTGCCTCTGATGGACGGTGGATTTTCATGTTTTCATGAGCCAGAAAGTTGGAGAGGTTTCCACTGCTGTGGAGAGCATGAGTTTACCTCCTGGTCAGAGCCGTGTCTGTCGACCTCCTTCAGGATCAGACCTGTGTAGCCCTGAGGACAGCTGATCTCCTGTCCCTTTAACCCACGTCCTCTGAATGACACTGTCTTGTCTGCAAATGGACAAATATGTTAGTTACAAACAGCATAAAGTAGCACATCATTATGAAGTGGAAGGAAGATTACCCATCTTTATTGCTAAGCTAAACTACATGATACACACTTTCTGAAGGAGAAATATCACAGCAGTATAATCTGCTTGTAGACAGGCATTACTGGTAGCAAATACAGGTCTATAATCAGTGTACCTTTTTTGTTTTCTTTTGTTGTTGCGGTGAAATACTGTGAGACCCGGGCGAGTCCATTGTGCTCAATCTCACAGGGCATGAAGTGGACAGGGGCTTTCTCTGCCCGCTTTAGTGAGGACAGATGGAGACGAGTAACACTGGCATTACTGGACATCCTGCAACCAGAAGACAAGAGAGGACAAACTAACCCATGACATCAAGACAATCCTCATTTCTTTTTCACCATGAAGTAATTTCAGGCCTGATTATTGATCAATTTCTAAGCGACAGCATGAAGCTGTGTGGAAAATAAATGCAAAAATCAGACAGTTTCAGATTCGGCCGGCAAAACCAAACCAAAAATAAAACCTATCAGTCAGTTTCTGCAAGTCCAGCAGTTTTAAATGTTATTTTCCATTTTATCAGATGCCTTTTTAAATTTGTAACTTCGATGAGTTAGAACATTCAACTGTGAGATTTATTCCATATTTTAAGACATATTATTTAATTTATGTCACTTTCGCGTTGCCATATTTTGTACATGTGGAGTTTCAGTATCATCAAAGGTTAAAACCACACCTGAAAACCTCAAACCAACAGCATGGTGATGATTTCGGCTTGACTGGAAATGTATCTTTACTGATTCCAGAAATAGTAAAGAGCGAATCATTTTAATTATCTACTTATAAGACCCCTGAAATAAAGCGAGGCGGTCTTTCTTCTGTTTTCCTGTGACTCAAACTGCTGCTGAGCTGGATTTGATGCTCCGCCTTGGCGAAATACAAAGGCTTTTTTAAAATAAAGTCGAAACAATATTTGTTTCACTCAAATATTGCTAAACTGCAATGGAAAAGATTGGTATATAATAAAAACAATTAGCACCTTCCTTCTGTTTCCCAAATGCAGCATGAGATGTAAACATGGACCGTTTCCGCCAGCTTCTTCTTCTCTTCATTAAAAACAGTTTTTGGCGCGGTGTTTCGATTCAGGCAGGGGATAGTGCCCCCTGCTGGACCGATGAGGCAATGTTCTCATCTTCTATGAGACCCAATTAAATCTGCTTAGCTTTTTCCTAATCGTTCCCGTTTAGATTTTAGGTTGAGAGAAGCATCATAGCTGCTGTGAATATTACGTGGGGTAAATTTATCACCAAAAGGATAAACTTTTCCTAGACTACTGCACAAACATTCCTCATTTTCTTGACATCCACTTCCAAATCTCCAGACTTGTTTATTTGCAACCTTTTACAACAATTACATGTTTTGGAAGGACTTTTAAAGTTCCTTTGCAGCTTCTTACCCACTTGTTTGTCTGTTTTCAGAAAAATATTTATAAAGAAGTAGACCAAGTGTTTGTTTATGCAAAAACAACATATCAAATACCTGCTTTAAACTAAATCTTTAGTCAAGGCAAGTTTAGTTGTTGAGCATCATTTGCACAAAGTGCTTTCAGAGGAAAATAAAGAAAAAAAAATGAAGATAAGCAAATGCAAAGCAATATACATAATTTAACATATAAAAAACACATAATGCAAATTTAAAAACAAGTAGCTAAGATGTGATTAAAAATGTGACAAAAAACAATGTCTTATGTTATGGCTTTTTTGTATGGATCTTCTTAGTGGCTGTTGTTAATTAAAGAAATATTATTTGAAAATAGTTGCATGTCATCGCCATTAATGGTGATGATATGCAAAGTTTACAATTCATCAAAGTTTGTGATGAATTGCAATTAAGATGCATATTATTAAAAAACTTTAGGTTCTCTTTTACCATGGCCAAGTCATAAAGACAGTTTATTCTCATGTAAATCCCCATAGAAGAACAAAATTACAGCTGAATGCTTAATGTTCAATTTTAAGGATTAGTTGTCAGGGTCAGGTTCAAGGAGTGGTTAGATAATTGAAAAAGAAGCCAAAGTTAGTGCGGCAGACTCAGAACATTTATATAAATATTGAAACAACATAATTTGCAAGATGGTCTAAAATCCTCTTCTAAAAAGAAAAAAAAAACTAACATTCCCCCTAAAGTTAAGGACAAAGCTTCTTTTCTTTGTGTTACTTGCCAGAGGGAGTGTAACAAACTACTATCTGTACAGAGTTCCAACATTTCCTTGGGTCTCTATGTCATATTATCACTAAAAACTCTTTCATGAAACTCCCCCACCAAATTGATCAACCGGAGCATAAGACAAGGCTCCTCACAGGATCTGGATTATGCCATACTGCCATCATGCATGACTGCAACTTCTAACGATTCCAGTCCAGGTGGCCAATCTATGTCTAAAATGAAGGCTCTGCCATTAAACTGGACTTATATTATTTGTGCTAAAAAGAACTGAACAAAACCAAAATACACTAAGTATATTAAATCAGATGTATCCAGATGGTTTCTGTGACTTTTTTTTTTAAGTATTTCAGTTTCTACAAACCTGAGTCAAATAATCAGGTTGTTAGCAAGACTGGAGAACTTGACTGAGGAACTAATTCAGCCGTTTGATTCATGTGTGTTGGACCAGGCACACATATAAAAGTCACAAGACAGCAACTCGAGAACTGAAGTTGAAGACTCTTCTATTAAACCAAACTATATGGTGTTCAACTATAAATTACTGAATTGGTCTGCAAACTAAACTGAGGTCATCTACGCTCTGCTATATTAAGCTGAACTGAACCAAACCAAACTGAACTGGACTTACTGACATTAACTTGAATTAAACTGAACTGAACTGTACACCTCTGAACTGAAATGAATGATGCTAACTTGAAACTAAATTGTGAACTGTTGAACATAACTAAGTTCAAATTTACTAAACTGAACTGAACTTTGCTGAACTTTGAACTAATTTATAATAAATATAAGCATGCAGTCAAGTACTGAAGTAACCATTATTTACTGAACTGATTCAAACCAAACTGAACTGTATCGCTGAACTCAAAAGAGAAACTAATATAACATGGATAAAAGGAATCAGCTTAAAAACAGAGCAAATCAAAATGATTGGCTTTGGAGTGAATAATTACTGGATTGAAAGCAGGTGAGAGAATGAGGAGCAGAACAGGTGATCAGGTGGCAACCAGAGAAAAAATCAGAAAAACAAACAGAAATCAAAATCAGATAAAGGGAATGATAATAAGTCAAAAAGATCAAGAAAAGAAGCAGCAATTACGAAAACAATCAGGGACCAAAAGATAAAATCATTTAATATTACATGTAAAAATCCAGAAAACATAATATATATATATATATAAATATAGAAGTGTGTGTGTAAAAAAGGTGCAAAATAAAGAAATATTGATCAAAATTAAATGCAGTCCTAAAAAAATTTGATGAAATGATGTTTTGTGTCTGTTCCAGCTCTTTATCTCAGTTGGATGAAGCATGTCTTCATGTGGGCTGGGCTAAACATCATCCAATGACAGATTTTTAAAGCCCTGATGATAAGACATATAAGGGGGTTGTTTCTGCATTTCACCAAGACTACTGCAGACGGAGAGACTTCAGGGAGCGATTTCCAAACATCTGTCAGTCGGCCAACAGGAACCAGAGGTGAGTCTCCAAAGGAAGGGAGAGGATGGCTGAAAGGCTTCTGCTTCTGCTTACCCAATAGATAAATGTTTTTACAGCTTCGAGTTTAAAGGATCAGGAACCTAAAGTGTTGACTTCAAAATAATTTTTATCTCTTTTAGAAACAGAATCCAACTAAAATTAATAAGAACTTACTTCGACATATGTTTATTTAACTCTTTATTGTTTAAACAGGCTTTATGTTGGGCATTTTTCATTGTGTTATTTTACATTTTTTATTGGCTCAATTGTTATTCATTGGTTTCCAGTGCAGTATTTTGTGATAGTTTGACACAGTTGGAAGTCATCTGATGTGAACGGGCCCACATTGTGACTCAGATTGGACTCGGTGGTTTTTGCTGATCTCATTTCTTTGAATTTTAAAGCTTGTGCCCTTCATTTGAAACATGATTTGCTACACTTTTGTGCTCTGGTTTATGTGCAGTGCTTTCTATCCTAATTTCCAAGAAAATCTGGAAAGGTTAAGACATTTTGAATATTCAGTGTCACTTCATGTTTAACTGGGTTTCTTATGGTTAAATCAGTTTTCCAAAATGTCCTGTTTTTTCAGGTGTTATGGATCAGGAAAGCCACCTGTCCTCAGAGGAAGAAGCTGCAGAACCTTCAGTCGTCATCGGTCTGGTTCTGCTACGGCTCCAGCATGCAGTCGTCCTGTGGTTCTCCAGGGCAAGACGCAGACTCCTGCAGGGGTTCACCGTCTTCTCCACGGTGCTCCTGCTCCTCTGGATCGCAGCTTTTTTATACGGGGCCTTCTACTACTCCTACATGCCTAAAGCGGCTTTTTCTGCACCGGTATACTATTACTACAGGTGGGGATGGTGGGTTTGGTGTGGCACAGAAAAGACAAGCTTTTTGTTCAATTATTTTTTCTTATCACAGGACAGACTGTGAATTGCTATCATCTTTCTGGTGCTCTTATCCTGTGGCCAACGTCTCTTTGATGACAAATAGGAAACATGTAGGTACACAAAATCATCATCTTTAGCATTTCTTGCAGTGCCACCCAAAATTATTCTTACCTCTTAAAATTTTCCATATTTTATGTGACTAAATATTTTTAATGTTTGTTTTTTTTGTTTGTTTTGTTAAAATGCAACAAAAAGTAGTGAATAAATACGACGCAAACTGCATAGTGGTGCAGTCTGCAGCGCTTGTTGTCTTGCATTAAAAAGGCCTCGGGTTTGAATCCCAGCCTGAGGTCTTCCTGCATAGAGTTTGAATGTTTTGGTCCTGCTAAACTCTGGTTAACCCAAATAGCATCTAGAACTTCAATAATTATTGATTTGTGGAACTTATCCTAAGATTTTCAATCTCTTGCAGGCGCTGACATTTGGCCAGGTGTATCGGATGTATTTGCAGCTGGAGATGCCCGACTCGCCAACAAATCATGAGGTGGGGATGTTCATGATCAAAACGACATGTTTCTCTCAGGATGGAGGCCAAGTGGCTTCCTCTGCTCGCACTGTAAGCTGCTCTCACTTCAATTTTCAAACACATTTTCTGCTTGAAAACCATCACTTTCTCCAGTGAATCTCAAAGTGCTGTGTTTCTCAGGCAAGCCAGCTGCAGAAGGCCTCCAGCTCTCGCTTTGTGAGTACAGCACTGACGCGTTGATAACAGAGCGAGATGAGTGCAGGGCTCTGCTGGGGCAGACGGCGATATTAGTGTATCACTCTGACGCCACAGTGAATGTCACAGATGTGACGTATACAAGCACTGACACCACAACCCATGCTTAAATTAAGTTTTTTGATGAAGTTACTGAAAATTAATAAATTCTTCAATAACATTTTTTATTTCACAGATTAGCAGTTTGTATTTTCTGAACTGATGTGCCTATAAAATCACAAATGCTGACATCTTTATCCTTTTTATCTCCAGAAGTTTAATTTAATTTCCCTGCATTATGGACTTTGACCTTGGGTATGATAATTAAAAAGAAGAAACTGGACTGTAAACTCACTATTTGAGAGTTGCAAAAAAATTGCATCTTAAAAATTAACAAGCCCCTATAACAACCATTTGAGGATCTCGAACTGTTGGAGTGAAAAACCTTTTTCCATTCTATCCTCAAAGCAACTCGACGGGAGCTTTAAGAGAAACTGTTTAGTCAGAATCCAAGCTGAATCTCATTTCACCTTGTGTTTTTGTTTTTGGTTCATGACCAAAACTTTCTGTACAATAATTTAAAACTTTCCATCTTAGGGCTTTTTACACGTCTTTATCAGGGTTCTGATATATTTGTCAGTGCTTGTATGTAAAGTGTGTTTCACTGTGTTTAGGGAATGCTGCGGTACCGATCTGACCTGCTGAACACTCTGGGAACGCTCCTCTTCCTCCCTGCCTTTCTGAGCGGAGCA